AGACATTGTAAGCGAATTGGTTTCTTTTGCAGAAATGCCGCAATAAGTCCAACCTAATTGTGTCAGGCTGTGTTTCAGGCTTCTGAATATCAAACGGTTGACGAATGTTTGATTGGAAATATTTTACTCCTTGCTGGTGAACTGATACGGTAGGTTTCGGGAAAAAATTCACACCAATACACTCCTTATCCCTGTAGACGGAGTAGGCGTGGCTTTTGAGCATGGGCATAGGACGGGTTTTTCACTGTTCATTTCATTGCCGATACTAATAAAAGTAAAGTAAAGTAAAGTTACTCGTGGGATACTTCAATATGAAACAACTGCCATCTTGTTCTGTGTTAGATGTAGACATGATTACGACTGTTCCAAAATGAAAATATCTCACGAAAACCTGGGCCGCCGCCATTTTAAATTAAGTACGCAGCCACGCCTACCCGATCTCAGGGATTTCGAGTATATCTTCTCGCAGTTCTAATTGTAGAAGGAAATTTAGCGCAACACGGCTTGGTGGGAGCACCATAAGGTGCTCTGCGAAGCTTCTGCGTTGCGCCTCATGCCCTAAATCCGAAATCATTTGATCAGTTGCTTGAAATCTTCCTATTCTCAGGAGCAGCACCCGCCTCTCACTAAAGTGCTGCTTTGCTGCATAGTATTGGCGCTATGTAATGTCAGAGGCATCTTGCTAATATTGGCATAATTTTTGCAGATCTCTAAACATGAAGTCCACTATGGCGTCGGCAGTTCCATTGCTCAAGACCTGTCTGAAAGATATTAAGTAGTTGTGTTTCTGAAGACAAGGTATGAGGGCTGTTTCTGATTTTCTTGCTTACTTTTCACACTCGTGTCTTATTCTCTTATTAATTCCATCTAACCGGTTGCAGGAAATCCAACAACCGCAGACTCAGTCTGAAGATGTACCCAGTAAGCGGGCCCGTATGCGACTGCAGTCGCTTAGCGGACGAAGACCTGGTGGTTCTCCACTGCTGGTAATTGTCAGAAATCACTGGATTTGTGATTCTGAACCGTGTGATGCATCATGTTTTCAGATCTCTGTTTTGACTTGTATCCAACGGATAATGGATCAGTTTGCACCGTTTGTTTCCCAATTTCTACCAGAAGTTCTCGTTTTTTATTGCCGCCTGAGCGCACGGTTGGTTTGAATTTTGCTCAAAGGCGGTGGGTACCATGGCTGGGGCGGGCAGTTACTGCTAGTGTCATCGACTGAAGGACTGCGAGAGGGCAGTTGGTCACACCCTATCCAACCCTTCCACCAATGACGTCTGCAATAACAACCCGCTCTTTGCAATCGTGCCCACCGCCTCAAAGTACAGTTGCTGAATTACGTGAGCAATTCAACTTATTTTGAAGATATTCTGACACGCAAGAGGACGGTACTTCAACACCTGCTGCACCTATGGAGAAGTCCCAATATATGCAAAGCACGAAGACCAGTATTCGACAAAGGTATTCCTAGTAGCCCCATATTCAAGCTACGCATCGACTAAAAATATCTGATTTCCAGGCTCGGATTCATTCGCTCTGCACTCCTCAAAATGGAAGTGCGAGTCATACCGGAGTATTTTGCGAAAGCCGTTACTGATCTTAGCCATGAAGAGGTCAGTGATCGATCAATTCAACTAGTTTTGTCCCACAGATACGAACTTTTTGCAGAAGCCGCTAATCAACCTGTTTTCACTGCTGGCCAACTATTTTGAACAAAAGAATCGCTTGGCAGTTACTCATAGTAGAGATGTCCTCCTGAAAGATGTTTTCTTGAAAGGACTCGAATTTCGTGCATGTGAGAGGAATGTTGAGGTATTGTCAAAAATATTGTTTTTTTAGCGCATTTCGGCTTGGGGGTTAATTTGTTGGTTTCCATGGCCGATGATTCTTGTGGAGTCATTTAATTTCCTTTGAAGTTATGCAGCAGTAGCAAATTCATGCACTTGACAAAATTCTACAGAACACGCCAAGGTGTAACTTAACATGAGCTAAAAAAGAAACGAACGAAACTGCAGAATGCTCCTCCCAAGCCTAACAGAACCTGTTTTTTAAAGTACCAATAATTTGTTTGTTCAGAATTTCGAGCCTGCTAGAAATGTAGAAAGGAGTGTCTTCAAGTCGTTGTTGGCAATGGCTGAAGTCTTGACAGAGAACACCCTGCGCTCAGTGGTGAACGGTTTAATAGATTGGGCTGAACAGGGACTGAAACCATCAGCAACCATGGGTGAACGCAGCCGTCTCATCACGGTTTATTCGTTTGCGAACAGGTAATTACTGCACAAAAAATGTTCACCCTGTATCGAAATTTCCCTTTGTGAGAAGGTCC